TATATTTGATTTTAAAATTATATTATACGATTATATTATAAAATTATATTATAATATTCTGCCGAATTTAAAAATAAATTAATGTCCATAGCTTTCAAAATTAAAAATAATTAAATAAATAACAACAATTTTGCAAAAACATTAAAGAACGTAAGAATATTATTCAGTAAAATTTTAGGTTACTTTGAATTTTCGATTTCCTAGAAATGTACTTTTAAATCATTACTTTTTTTGTTTAGTACTTGTACTTTTACTTGTACTTTTTACTCGTTCCTTTTTAAATAAGAACTTTTTACTTTTTACTCGTTACTTTTTTTAAAAATACTTGTACTTTTACTCGTTACTTTTTAAAAGTAACGTTGCCATGTATGATAAGAATGATATAATTTGTTGAATAACTTACAAATACCAATGCCCAAATTATAAATATTTTTTTAATTCTTTCAGATTGCAAATCTCAGTACCATAGATACTGTCATTCAAATAACCCTATAAATGCTAAGAAAAAAAATACACAAAAGGTTTAGTTCTATTAAATCTCAAGGTGCTCTTGCACTTTTGAAAATAAGTCACTTGCAAAATGTGTAGGTGACAAATTTGAACCACAACAATACTCTATTTTTACAAAGGTTCTAAAATGTCTTTGGAAGAAAAAAATGAACGTATTTGATTAATTAACAAAATTTAAGAAAGAAAGTGTTAGCTAAGTTAAGACATTTTTTATAATTATTTCAGAAATGCAACTTTCGTCAAAAATTACAAAAAAAATTTTAATAAATAATTAAAAAAAGCATCACAAATAATTTCAAAAAGGACCATATTAAAAAAAAAGTCTAAAAAATTTATTCCAAGGTGGCAACTACTTTTTAAATGCTATTTAACGCTCCAAATAAAAATTTTGTTATATGAAGAAATTCACTGAAAGTAAACTTCGTTGTAGAGGTTAATGATTTATAAAGCAAATTATTTATCAGTTCATAAAGGCTCTAAAATGTCTTTGGAGGGAAAAAATGAACGTATTTGATTAATTAACAAAATTTGAGAAAGAATGTGCTAGGTATGTTATGACATTTTAATAATTATTTCAGAAGAAAATATTTGGAACAAATAAATTATTCGAAATGCTACATAGAATTTATTTTTAATTCGTTTCCAATATTTTATACAGTATTAAATTAATAAATTCCCGATACAAACAAATAAATGAAGGGGGAGAAAGTAACAATTACATCAAGAAAAATATTTATACATTATCAACATTTATGGAAGTTTGTAAAATAACATAATAATGAGCTAGTTAAGAATATTCATTCATGTTTTATTTATCTCCGAAATTTAATTTAGAACTTTAAACTCCTGGACTACTTATCACATAAATGTGTGCTCAAAATATCTGTCAGAAATTGGAGTAAGAAAAATTCCTACAGGGTGTTATACGAAAACTTTAAATTATTTGTTTTCTGTGAGGGGAATAGTAGTAGAAACATTCCTGAATCTAATCCCACCGCAATGGACCCGGGATAAAGTGAAAATTCAGTTTTAATGAATGCTTTGAATGGTCCTACCCAAAACCTTATTTAACTAGCATTATTTCATACACTTAGAACAGATTTTAAAAAAATCGGTTGTCCGTTATAGTGCCCACAAATTTCCCTCTTACTGGTATTTAAATAAGTGTTAAAAAGTTTTTATTGTATGTTATAAGTTCAAAAGTATATAATTATGACCTTTGATTAAAAATGAAGTAAAAATGGATTCATGGTCATTTCACTGAAATGTATAATGCAAAAAATTCCAATAACAGTTACATGGATGAGCACAGTTGTACAGAATTTTCCACTTTTAAATGCAACTTTCTTCAAAAATTACAAAAAAAAAAAAAAAAAAAATNAAAAAAAAAAGCATCACAAATAATTTTAAAAAGGATTAAATATAAAAAAAAGCCTAAAAAATTTATTCCAAGGAGGCAACTACTTCTTAAATGTTATTTAACGTTCCAAATAAAAAATTTTGTTATATGAAGAAATTCGCTGAAAGGAAACTTCATTGTAGAGGTTAATGATTTATAAAGCAAAATATTTATGAGTTCATAAATCAAAATAAGTACGATTATAATAAGCATTTTCCAACCACACACATCGTGCGTCATACAAGATTCGTTGAGAAAATTTAAAATTTAGTAGAAAATTTAATTAATACAATAACAAATACAATAAATTACAATACAAAAATACAATACAATAATTCGTGACCCAATCTAATGCAGAATACCCAGGCAAAAAACGGAGCACCCTAGGTAACTTTTGATCCTAATGATCTGGTTTTCACGTTTTTTGACTCAATCTTAGTTGTTCGAGAGCCTTATCTAAAAAATGACAACTAATTAGTGCAAATGATATTTTAAGCTTCGTAATCAGGCACAAAAATACATTTCTTTGACTAAGCATTCCTTTTTGCGTAATATTTGGATTCATGACCATCGAAATGTGGGGTTCCTATAGTTTAGTGAGGAGAGCTAAAACCCTTCTAGATAGGGAAGAAGGCTGGCACATCCGTAATATCTTTGGATGATTCTACAAAACTATATTTTAAAATCTCAAACTGTTTAAAACTAAATGCGCTTCAAGAATCTAAAACAAATTCACACTTCCTCTTTATAAAACACATAAAAAGAGAAAATGAAGGGAATTCATTCTAATGATTCTGGCTATTAAGTCAATGTTTTGGTCCAGAAAATGCTAGGAGAGTATTATTTTTGCATACCAGGAGTGTGCCATTTTTATATATACTACATATATAAGGTCAGCTATTAAGTTCTGATGACAGATTTAGGCTTTAAAAAGTTCGTCTAATCGAACCATCAATCCAAATAAGTCACAATTTAAAAATCAATTGCTCAGTAAAATTGAGCAACAATAAGTAATCAGTAAAATTTATTTTTGACATGTGATTATCGTTGGATAAACGAATTTTATTATTGCATTCAAAATTTTTGTACTATAAAATAAACTTCATAACAGTGATGATAATATGGTAATTGGTACAGTTTTAATAAGAAATTCTTCCATCGATTTTCCGCAGTTTTAGAAAATATTGTTTCAAAAACAGCAAAGATAGTGTATTAATATTTAAAAGAATATATTATTTTCATGAGATATCAATTTAATTTTTTAAAAATATATATTTAAGCTATGCTTATTTTTCTTCTTAGTTTAGGTTTTTTTAAACCAGTGATTACTATTCTTGTTTCAGAGTCTGGAAATTTGCCTGAGTACCCCAACACTCTTCACATCTTTCTAATTGATGTTTTGAAGCTTACAAATCTAAAGCTATGCATTTACGAGTCCGCGAGGAAGAGCAAAATACTTAAGACAGTGCTCCTAAAGGCGGCAAGTCATGGTGAAAAGTCAAATTTGTGATTTTCGTGAGAGTGGATCAGTTGGAAGACGAATGCAACTATGAGTTCATTATGCAATTAAATTCTATTTAAAAAATCCGATTCATTAATTTTGAAAAAAAAACTGTTTTATAATCCGTGAAGATATATTCAATTTCCTTTCTGTAGCATGGCAAATTTCTTTGTTTTAATTTTGTCATTGATTTGAGTTTCAGTTTACAATTTTAGGAAAATGTTCTTTGAAAAAAAAACTGTAATGAAACTGTAAAAAACTAAAAAATTTTTTCGATATGAGTTTCAGATTAGCATTTTAATCCAACTTTTACAAACAATCGTTTCAAACTGCATAAACACTTCATACAGAGTCGTTGTCTAGAAAGATACGAAAGTTACCTACTGATTACCTCAACACACTTTAAAAATCTTTACCTGCTGGTTAAGATTTTTTTAAATGCAACTTTAATTTATAATTTGTTCAAAATAAATGATTCTCTGATCCTTTTTTAAGATCTACCCGTGCCTGGAAAATGAGGATTTTTAATTTCTTAAAATTAGAATTAGAATTTCAATAGAGCTTTTCAATTTTCTAATTTTAATACCTAAATGGATGTGTTGAATCACTTTTCTCCGAATGAAATCGATTTATATATTTCGTTATTATGGAATATCTTGTAGCGCGAGTCATCAAATATTCTAATCATGATATTAGAATCTAATAACAATATGCACTATGTTTGGCAACATATAACGCGATACAAAATTATAAATGATTTCGAATAATTTTCAATCGTCCAAATTGCCATTTCAAAAAAATAGTATTTTTATTTAATGCATTTTATAACATTTTATTTATACTATGTTGAATATACTAGGTTCAAAACACGTTTCGTAAATAGAAATATAATTTTTAAAGATGAAACAGATGATGAATGTCCAACGCCAACAAATGACCATGATGAAACACACACTATTTTTTCCCCTGCGAGATCGCTATTGAAAACGAAGATCAATTCTTTTGTCTGTGATTTAAGCAAAGCATATGAGGACATTTTTCTTTTTAACTACTGAGCTAATTTCATGTTTGATCCTTATGAGACATAGAACCTAAAACGTCTGACGAGTCTATTTTTTTCCTTCTATCATCTGATTTTTTGATGCACTCAATTAAGCAGAATAAACTGAAGTTGTATTATTTTTAAAATAAGGTAGAAAAAACTTTTTTTTTTGTTAGGAGACTTTGGCCCATTCTGAAAATCTTATCTTCGTATGATATTAGGTTAAAGGTACAACTCAGATATCGATAGACTTTTTATTATTTTTATCTCAGATATTTCTTTTTCAAGTCACGCCCCGATAAATTCGGCCCTTTTGCTAATTGTGCAACGCCGCCAGCCACCGCTGCTACACCAAAACCACCCAATTTCAGTCATCGGCACTAGGCGATTTCTAATTTATGTAATTTTTCATTTATGCTAAGATAAAATTCCTATTTGTAAAAAATGATTAGTTTTGAAGTAAACAAAAATTTAAAGAACACATCTTTAAAAAAAAGTCACTGCTATGAAGGAAAATTTTTTTTTTATAATTACATTTCAAAAACAATTTTTTAAAAAATTTTAATTCCAAACATTAAAAAATACTGTGTTTGGCTTAATCTAAAAATGAAATTAAAATCTGTACATTTAACATAGTGTCTTCAATTGAATCTCTGACACAGAACGCTATCATCGCCTGTGTTTTATTGTACCAAGAAGTACAACCTGTTACGTCTTGTACTAAACTTGTACGTCTTGTATACATTCATTATAAGTAGAATTTGCGAAAACAAAATACCAATAAAAATTGTCAGGTAAAACTTTTAAACTGTGAGGGAAAAACAAGCTTGTCTTTAAACATCATAATTTAAAAGGAGCCAAATAGGCGCAAATAACAATTTTTTCTTCAAGCAAACCAGGCTGGACATTTTCCTTCTAGTAGCATCTCTTCTTCAGAAGGCATATACTTTTCTACTTTTGGAATCACATCTTTTTCATCATTCGAAGGATGGTAATTTTCGTTTAGCACTAAGGGTTTTAATTTACTGCTTGATTGAGTACCAATAATATCTTTTATCACAATCAAGTTCTCGACTTCAGTTCTGGACACTAAATCGCTATCTTCTGAATAATTTGTATCTTTTTGGGGAAGAATTTCTGTTTTATTAGCAGATCCATTGAGTATTTCTTCCTCGGTAGTGCGCGTAGCAGGCACGTACTTGTTTTGCTTCCATTCGGGAGACTTTCCTTCTATTTCCATTTTAACAGGATTATTAAATGGTATCAATTCTTTCTTTTCGAGTATTCTCAAAGTCATTTGTTCAAAAATCTGCAATTTTTTAAGAAAGGAAAATGAATATTTAACCTTTAGTTACCTTTGCATATATTCAAATGTAACGTACTAGGCGGGGAAAAAGGATATCACCTAGAATAATTTTTGTACTAATAATCGTATTTAGCAATTTCAACGGTTCCAGTAGGATATGTGACCTCAAATATATGCTGACTAATCAGTAGCCGCTATGCTAAGTAATTAGCAATAAAAGTTTTGAATCTGAGGCATAATTTTTTCTATACTATATTAATATACGCATTTTTCTGCTAAGAAATCTAAAGTTTAAAACTATTTATGATGAGAGGGAGGGGATTCGAGGAAAATTTAAATTAATTATTTTTAAAGAAATAAATACCTAATGTAACTTACAAAGAGTTTAACTTCTGCAAACGTAAGCTAAAAAATTATCTTATAATTTTTCGTTGTTAGTCGATTACTAAAACTTTTTTTAATTACAAAATACAATGTTTCTTATTAAGTCGTCAGCTGATTTAATTTTTATTTAGTAAAGAGATTTTAATAAAATATAACATTCCGCGAAGTTTTATAAAAACATATTTCTGATTGAATGTGGTTATACATCTGTTTTTATTTTTGTTGATTCATTCTATGGAGTGAACAATTACAATTATGTGCAATTATAATAATGATCAGTATGCTTTCATATATTTGGATTAATATATTTATAGATTACTCAATGTACATTTTAATAATTAAATAACAAAAGCGACAAATATATATGAGTATATAACAAATATATATGAGTATAAATAAAGATACTAGTTTTTAAAAGAAAACTTTTTGTTTCTTTGAATCAAACTTTTGTCACATCAGTAATGAATAGGCGAAATATTTTATTGCTTGAAAGCTAACACGAGAAACAATTTAACTATCATTTATTTAAACTTCAGCAATGATAAGGAAAAACTGTGGAAAGCCACGTTTACACCATTGTACCACCATATTACAATAATATAGGGTGTAAGGAAAAGTTCGACTAAAATATGCTCTAAAGTATACCCTAAAATATATCTAGAATAAATTTTAAATTGGCAAATAAAAGACACATTTTCATATAATTTCAAAAAGAATGGAAAAGTTAACTTGTTCGAAATAATTGGTGCTGTATTTACTTTGATTTTATAATTTCATTGTAATTAGAAATAATTGGCATTGCATTACTTGAGGCTAAGGGTTATTTCCTCTCATTCGATATTGACATTTCATATGTAACGGAATTTTTTGACCTCCTTAAAAGTGCTTTTTAAAGCTAACAGCCAAAACAAATTGTACTGCATTGTTTTTCCAGAAATTTGTGACTAAGTTATTATTATTTCAGTGTAAGAGTCTTTGTCCTTATTTTACATAAAACCTATTTTAATATCGCGTTAAGTAATAATATACAATGTATTATACTGTGTTGCAGGTAATTCTGATCGAAATCGATTGCCGTGTGAACCTAACTAATTTTTTTTCACTTTTAAATTTATTTGAGAAAATACAATCTGCTTAATTTTTTTAAAAATTATATATTTTATGCAGAGTACTATAAAAACGAGGGATATTTACGGTGTTTCGAAAAGTAATAATTCATTATATACTAATATACTCTATCATACTAACTAAAATAATTTAATATAAATTAAGTATGCTTCTAGTACTTCTAGATACTTCTAGATAGTAAATACTTCTAGAATAAATCTTCCGCAAATATTCAAAAAAAAGTCATATTGTCACATTAAACTAATATTACAGTAGCTAACATTCAGGAATTTTTGAAATGGAATATAATTCACATCTGGATTTGTTTCTCATCGATTATATACACATTCTTCTAAGAGAAAAATACAATCATGCAATCATAGTTGTATAAAGGTTAATTTAAATTTCCGAGTAAGTTTAAGAACTTGAATCACTTACAAATAGATATTACTTTAACATTCACATTCAAACTTTATGTGTGTATAACTCTTGTATATTCGATTATGTCAAATATAAATTGCGAAAAATTATACGAACGCGTGCACAAGGGCTAATTTATAGAAATGAAATTTCAAGTAAAATCGTCTGTCAAAATAAAAAAAAAAGAGAAGGTAATGACAGATTGATATAAATGAGAGTGAAGAGAGAGAAAAATTAGAGATAAACAAGATAAGAATGGAATTTTTGTTCATGAAAAAAAAAGTTTTCTGATGAAACGAGTGAGCGTTAAATAAAGTATTGTGAAAATTGCAACATTTGTTACGTTTGTTTCATTAGGAATGTTATAAATATAAATTTTCTTTTTTAAGAAACTTATTTAATAATAATTTTTAATTACTTTAATATTAAAGTTTCGAAACCCTAAATTTTTTAAGAAGGCAATTGTAGTTGGCAAAATTGAATAATTTGGTGAATGTAAAACGTATTTGGTGAATATAATGTGTCTAATCCTCTTAGTTTTGCTGCCATTTTTTCAGTTTCTTAAGTACCTCTCGAATTTAGTTTAAAATGAGACTATCGTATCAGATGTATGTACGTAGAGATGGTGAGAATTGTAAAATAAGTTTCTATGGAAGCTTGAATTAAATCTATAATGTCTTACTTCTTTAACATTTTCACCAGTCTTGGCACTGCATTCAAAAAATTTGAGATTTTCACTTTTGGCAAAATTTTGGCCTTCTTTAAAAAGTACTTCCCTTTTATGGAGAAGGTCAGATCGAGCACCAACTGTCAATTATAAAATATTTTCATTAAAAGAAACTTGAAATCTTAAGAAATATAGTCATAAAAAATTTTTTTTTTCTGGGAACGTAACATTATTTTTGCACTAATGCTCTATTCGTTAAATACGCAACTGTTCTTGAATTATATCAGTGGATACTCTAGCATAATAGATGGTTCATTTTATAAATATGAGATGGCTCGTAGGCAGCTGAGAAGTGGAGAGATTTCGACACGAGAAGTTGTCGTACCATATGAATGCCTCCTCCTCACTAATATATTCAAACCAAATATTTTCTCACCCAAATATATTTTTTATAAATGAAATTTCTAATGTCAATTTTAATTTGTATCATCTAAATGACACAGTGCACACATACAGACATATTTTTTCCCATTGAGATATCCAGAAATTTTTAAAGTTTCAAACATTAGCAATTTGTATCAAGCCTAAGGGATACAAACTGAAGATTGCGCTAACTCCATGGTCATAAACAACCGTTGCATTACTCGGCAAAATATTTAAATTAGTATTTTTACTTCAGAAACCCTGCAATGCCCAATTAAAAACCTGCTATGCGAAATCTTAGCGAATTTGCAAGGTAGAGGGTGCGTTTATTGTTTCTCAGTGGCCAAGTTGTATTGTTCTACTACAAGTATTGTTTCTACTGCCAAGAATACAATTTAAGTCACACGAACACGTCACAGCCCGTTTTACAGGGAGAACCAATTCATTCATACACAGATCGTAATTTTAACCTTAAGTAGCGAACGCTCAATCTCCAATTCAGTACCTCTAGAGGTACAGATTTTTTTATCGGAACTTGGTAGACTTTGTGCCTCCGGCAGCAGTCAGTATTTGATACACGGAATTATTCGGGAAGCGGGATTCGAACTCATGATCTCAAGAACACGAGCCCAACGTCCTACAAACCAGGCTATCTCAGCCCAAATACTAGAAGTAATTAATAAAATAAATACTTATGAATATGATAGCTTCTGGAGCTAATTTCCTCATTGTCTCACGCCATTCTCGAAGTTTCTCAAAGGTACAAATGTCTGCTGTATCATAAACCAGAAGAATACCGTGTGCATTTTTAGTTGTCCTGGAAGAAATTTCTTTTAATATATCTGTCAGCATTATCAATAAATATTTTTTTTAATTCTTGCTGTTGCTCTTCGAGTAGAAAATTTTATTACTGAAAGGATATTTACTTACTATTGAGATAAATATAAAAATAAATTCAGGAAGTTTAAAAAAATGAAGGGACAAAGTAGGCATACAAAAAGAATTAGTTGTAGTAGTACTTTATTTAAATCGCTGTAGGGCAGAAAAAAGAGATAATGGGGGTGGTCTGGCAAACACCCCTGGATGATCTGAAGACACGCTATCATAGTTTTGATCCTCAATAGAGAGGATGGCTCCCCGCTTTGACAGCCCAGATATCTGTGCGTGAAGTCGAGTACTTTATTATAGAACAATTTAACGAGGATCGATATCGCACACCCTCATTCCGTTCGCAGGCTGATCAGTGGTCACCCACCCACACTGACGCATACGCACACCACTGGTTCATTGTCCACAGCCAGTGATGCTTTACTTTGGTGATGTACTACCAAACTACTGGAAACTAAGTCTTACGAACAATTCAATGTAAGATAGGAAAAGAATAAAACCTCGTAAAAGTGCTCAGAGCCGCAAACGCGACCAACAGTCGCAAATTATACGCAAATAATTCAATTTTTTAAAAATATCTTAAGGGTACTAACATTAACAATATCAAAAATCTGAAGAATACCGTGTGGATTTTCCGACATTCTGGACAGAAAAATTCTAAGTAGATTGTAACTGGATCATCAAAACAGTTTTATTTTTTTCTTTAAGGAGAAGATTTTATTACTTAAGGATTTGAACTTATTATTAAGGTAAATGCCAATCAATGTTCCTGCCCCACCTAATTCTGGTCATCCAGGAAATTTTACTGAATTCTAACATCATCACAAACAATCTGGTAACAAGCTTGTTTGTTATAAAGAGATTTAAGAAATATAGCAAATGAGCAACTTAAATAATTTTTCCCGTGTAAACTCTCATTATGCGATGATATAAATATACCAGAATCAGTTAAAAGGAAGACAAAAATTCTAAAAATTTAAAATTGGTTTAAGACTAGAAAAAAACTCTATCATACTAACTAANTTAGTCATGGTTATTAAAAATAAATATTAATTAAGTTTTGATACAGTAATGATGTAAGTAAATAGTACAATCAAATAAAAGTTTTATTGGTAAATACGTTATATTTTGCAAAGAAGTAAGCTTTATTTAACTCTAAAATGTGACAAATTTGATTAAAAAAAGAATTTTTTGAACTTACATTGGCACGAATGCACGATATCTCCCATTGCCAGCGTTAACTCCAATAAGTAATTCAACAGTTTTTTCCTTTACCTTAAGTTGTTTAGTGAAGTAGTCCCAGCCAGTTATCGTATTAAAATTTTCTGAAATGATGATATACTCTTTAGTTGTAGTAAAACTTTAACTGACAAACATGAGTAAAATATAATCATGTAAAAGTACCAACTTTGTGCACTCCAAAGCATTAAATTTTTTTTAAATTTTATTTATCCTTTCTCCTTAAGTCATTAAAATGTTCGATATTTTTGTGCAATGAACTCACTACTTTTTGAAATATATAAGATCTTTAATAGTGATGATATCATTAAATCTATCAAACTAAGTAGAATGAGATGGGCCGGGCATGTAGTGAGAATGAGCCCAGAACGAACAGCATTAAGAGTCTTTTATGCAATCCCCTCCAATGAAAGGCCGAGAGGAAGGTCCAAAAAGAGATGGAAAGACTGTGTGGATGAGGATTTTGCCATCCTGAAAGTAAAGAACTGGAAATCAATTGCTGGGGGAAAGGCAGAATGGGAAAAGCTTCTGAGGAAGGCCCAGGCTTACAAGGGGCTGTCGTGCCAATGCTGATGATAATTTCACTACTATTAATGGTCATTGAATTATTATTATTTTTTGTTTCAGTAGATACAAATTTGAAAATTTATGGAAAATTGTCCAAGCAGAAGATAACAGAGAAAAGGGGAAAAGAGTTAACCCTTTAACGCGGAACTTTTATTAAACATATTTTTCATTATTTTGTATTAATCTAGGACAATGTAAGTGAAAAATATTATATTTAAAATTTTAATAATTTATGGATATGAAATACAGCATGAAACACCGGTGTCGGCGTAAAAGATAAAATCTTTCAAACACGGCTCTATTCCAAACAATAATTTTTCTAATTTGCAATTACTTAGATCTAAGAGAATTAGCTTAACGTTAATTAAACTTAATGTTAATTTTACTTTTTGCGTATTTTGCTATATCTCGAGAACTTTCTAACCGAATTGAAAAATTATTGCACACAAGACACAAGTATAAATTTCGTTTATCCGAAGATAATTCAATGCAAAAAGTAACTTTGAGTTAATATTTAAAAAATTTTATGATTTTATTTAAGAATGCTTGAAAAATGAACAAAATCGGTCGAACAGTTCCTGAGAAATCGAATATTAAATACCTGAAATTTTTTAAATTCAATTTCTCATGAACAATTCAACCAATTTTGTTCAGATTTTGTATTTTGCAGAGTAAAATAATATTCTGTAAAGTAATGTAAAAAATAGTGTACAATTCAAAATTTTTTCGACAATTATTAAATAAAATAATAAAAAATATTTCCTAAGATTTAATTTTTTGTATGGAATTATCTTTGAATAAACGAATCAAAATAAGCCTAGTATTTATAATAAAAGTGCCAATCTGACTGTTTTAGAGCAGCAGACAAATTTAAAATTATCAAGATGGTGTTGCAAATTGACTCTGAAAATTCTGCTACCGGGGTTACAACAATGCACAGTGCTCCTGCAATGAATTTATGTGGGGGTAAATAACTCGAGTAAATTTAATTTTAGTACACCAGGATTTTCAGGTAATTCTCAAATTTTTGAGTAGTTTGTTAGTCGTAAAAAAGATATAAACTTATTCACTTTACTGCTGCGGAAGCCTTGTAACCTTTGAAGAGTAAGCTCTGTGAGGCTCATCTCTATTTTCAAAAATCTCCAGAATGTAGGGTGATCAAGAAGTTTTTGAGTCTTGTGAAAAACTTTTACATTTCTTTAAATAGTAATAATCTTCTTCAGCTGACTAAATTTCAAGATATCAGCAATTTTTATGACTTTCCTTACAGTTTTTCGAGGGATATAATTTTTTCTTTTTAGATGTCAAGATTGAACCTTTTTTTTACTGCAATATAAATTATTCTTCTAACGTGAATTCTAACGAATTTTCATATGTCACACAAATGATACTATTGCTCTGTCCATTCAATTAACATACATTATCATGAATATTATTTTAAAAAATAAATGTATTATACTTGACAATGAAAATACTAAGCTATTATCCTAAAATTATTTTTTTTTAAATTAACTAAATAAAATATGCTTACATAAAAACTAATTTTTATGTAAATTACCTTCGAATTTTCCAATGATATATGTTCGAACCAAGCATGTTTTTCCTACGCCTGAAATGTGAAAGAAATAATAAGTAATAAATAAAATGTTCTTGCTTATCAAAACAAACTAGCGAAACTAAGAACAAAATAGAAATGTTCAATTCATGTAGTATAATTAAACTCTAATACTAAAACTAATTAATACTAAGACTAATTAATACTAACTATTAATAATAATAATAATTAATTGCTTTTTGATCACGGATTTAAAATTCTCAAACTTTATAAAATCAGAGCTGACTACTACGCAGAGTTGGCCGTTGATTACAGTAATCGATTCCAACTGTAATTGATTACAAATAATTACAGCTATGTAATCAATTACTTGTAATCACGATTACAAGTAATCAATTACTTGTAATCGTGATTACAACTTTCAAAAAATTTTGATTACAGATGTAATCATGATTACAATTCTGATCACAGTAATCATGATTACAATTTTGATTACAGTAATCAATTACTTGTAATCACGATTACAAGTAATCAATTACTTGTAATCGTGATAACAACTTAAAAAAATTTTGATTACAGCTGTAATCATGATTACAATTTTGATTACAGTAATCAATTACTTGTAATCATGATTCCAAGTAATTGCGATTACAAGTAACCACAAAAAAAAAAACGATTACGAGTAATTATGATTACAAGTAATCAAAATATATGATTACATGTAATTGTGATTACTTGTAATCAAACAATACGATTACAAGTTATTACGATTGTATACTATAGTCAAATTTTTTATGTAAGTATTCATCTGTTTACATATTTTTATGTACATAGAATGTACGCACGCATAAACGTACTATTTGCGATTCCTATACATACAATGTATGCACAAACGTTGTTTGTACGTACAATATTCATAATTATATTGTAATATACTTAATGCAATGCGCATATGCTTAGTACATATAATTATAGATTTATGATGCATGTACGCATGTATGTTA